GACTACGTGGGAGTCCAACAACATAGCCATTATGCTAACTGCTGGTTCCCAATATTTTCAGTTTTAAATAAAGTCATACATGTAAGTCAACATGCACAATGCTGAAACGCAACCACTTCCTCTTGACTATTGTATGACTTTAATTTCTTTTAGGGAAGACAAGAATACTGTCATACTTTTCTCAAAAATTTTCCTTCTTACAGGAGACTGCGCAGTTGGAAAAGTGCTTGAACATCAATGTTTACTGTGGCATTATTCATGCATGGGGGTCAGGAGATTCGAAGGACTTTCCTTAGGAAGAGAGATAGAAACTAATGAAAATATGAGGACTGGGAATCAGCAGTTAGCATAATGGCTATGTCGCTGGACTCCCATGTAGTTGACTGTGGTTCACGTCCCAGACCCGGTGGTTTAAAACTCACACCGGGCGCATGTGCATGCGTGCCCAAGATCCCGAGAGGAGAATGGAGGAGAAGGGATTGTGGCGTGGCCATCCCCCCTGGGGGGTGATTTCTCGCTTTCTGTCTCTCCGTCTCTCTTTGTCTGTCTGGCAAGCCAAGATGTTTAAATTTACATCTTCCTACAATGTCTTCCTAGTTCCAACACCAGTGATTCTTCACAAACAAGAGACTGCTCTGCTAAGCAGTCTTCCCAGGGCCCCCTTCACATCCCTGTTCCTCAGGGTGTAGATGAAGGGGTTCAGCATGGGGGTGACCACAGTGTACATCACTGAGGCAATGGAGCTGCTCTGGAAAGAGTGGGTCACAGCAGAACTGAGGTAGACCCCCAGTCCTGTCCCGTAGAACAAGGAGACCACAGAGAGGTGAGACCCACAGGTGGAGAAAGCTTTATACTTGTTCACGGTGGAGGACATCTTCACTAAGGAAGAGATGATCTGAGAGTATGAGTAGAGGATCCCGGTTATGGGAATCACACCCAGCAGTGCAGTTGCCATATACAGGTAGATGTTATTGATGAGGGTATCAGAGCGAGCCAACTTGAGAATCTGAGGCAGGTCACAGAAGAAATGTGAGATTTCAGTGCATGCAGAGAAGGTCAGCTGCAGCATCAGAAAAACGTGAAGCAAAGCTTCCCAGGAAATGATGAGTGAAGATATCAGAACCGTGAGGACACAGAAGCGGGGGTTCATGATGACCGTGTAGTGTAGGGGGTGACAGATGGCCACGAACCGGTCATAGGCCATCACGGCAAGCAAGAAACTATCTAATCCAGAAAAAAACATGTAAAAACACACTTGAGTGAGACACTGTATATAAGAGATGTCTTTTCTGTGTGACTGGATGTTCACCAGCATCTTGGGGACAGTGGTGGAGGTGAAACAGATGTCTACGAAGGACAGGTTGGAGAGGAAGAAGTACATGGGGGTGTGCAGGTGGGAGTCAGAGCTGATGGCCAGGACAATGAGCAGGTTCCCAAGCACGGTGACCAGGTACATGAACAGGAACAGCCCAAAGAGGACGGGCTGCAGTTCTGGATCCTCTGAGAGGCCCAAGAGAAGGAATTGTGATACTTCTGTGTGATTTTCTGCTTCCATGTTCTGATGAGTCTGCTGGGGATGGAGACAAAACAACATTCAATGGAGACCAACCGGCACCTCAGCTAGTTCTCACTTAACAATGTCTTCCCTGGGTGGACACTCTTTGCCCTCTATTGAGTCCTGTCAATGACAGTGACTCACTCAGCCAAAGGCATGTCATTTCCATTTTATTTTATTATTCTTTAAACTTTTTTTTTATTTAAAAAATTTGCCAAAAGTCACTTACACTTGAGAGAGAGAGAGAGAGAGAGAGAGAGAGAACCCTGCATGGGTCATGATCATGCCACAATTCTTTCTCCTCCATTTATCCATCCTGTTGGGATTTAGGCATGGAAGCACCCATGCCTGGCATATTTTTTAACTGCTGGGTCTGAGACTAATTGCATGGAATGTGGGATCCATGTGGGATCCAGGTATCCTAAAGACAAGGAAGACATTTCCTATCTTGAAAATTCCAATAGTCCCTCTTTTTTAAAAAAGGATTATTTATTCAATTTTATTTGTTATTATCATCCTTTATCCAATTTGACCAGAGAGAGACAGAGAGAAAGAGAAAGTGAGAAAGCAAGCCGCCAGGTCCAGGACTTGAACTGTGGTCACCCATGTGGTCAGCCATAGTCAATCACTACGCTACCTGCTGGCCCCAGTTCCTTCCTTTTAATAGTGCTACAATAGTAATCCAGAAATGGATTTCAACCCATTCAACTTTTATTCTGTGACCTGACATTTCCTAATGATGTGACAGTGAACTCTCAATGCCTTATGTATTTTTTCCTAAAATGGGTTATTACTATTACCTTCTTTATATGGTTTAAAAATACCTTTTTTCCCTCAGTAGGACTTCAATAAGTCATAAGCTATTATTATTATTATTATTATTATTATTATTAAACTCCTCCCATTGTAATTATTGTGGATATAATACTCTTTGAAAGTAATTTATAGACCTGTGATTTAACAAGTTTTTCCTCCTTTCTTTTCTTTTTTAAAAATAATTACCTTTTTTAAGAGTGAGAGAGAGAGAAGGAAAGTGAGAAAATTTAAGGATGAGAGAGAGAGAAGGAAATGAGAAAGCAATCCACCAGATCTGGGACTTGAACCATGGTTGGCCATGTGGGAGTCCAGAGCCCTTAACCACTATGCTACTTGTCTGCCTCTCTTTTCTTTCTCTCTCTCTCTTTTCCTTTTTTTTAACATTTAATCATTGTACGTCTTCACAGAATATACAATTATTTTCCCAGCATGAATACACCATACACTGCGTATTAGTCCAGTCAAGCATTTTAACGTTCACAGATATTACATCAGATTAAAAAGTTTCTGCATAGCAAAAGAAACAATAATTATAGTAATGAGACAATCCTCAGAATGGGAGACTATATTAGCAAGTGGTTTTTAAAGTTAGAATTTTGTAATTAAATTTTGGTTCTCCAACTTACTATTGTGTGGTCTTGAAAAAGTTACTTATTCTTTCTTAGTTGCAGATACATCACCTCTATACTAGGAGTTGTAAATATTTCTTACATAGTAGAATTGAAGAGCAAAATTAGATGAGATGATGCATGCAATTTTTTTTTCCTGTGGTTCCTGTGGCATACAATGAGGTATCTCATAAACGTGAACTTGTATTATTAACATTATTAAAAAAAATCTGTTTTTCATGGGTGTCAGTGATAAATATCCCCATTAAACTGTTACTGTCATTAAGGATGGAATTCTCATAATTATACATGTAATTGGGTTAGTCCTCCAAAGAATAATGAAGTTAGGGGGACCAGCAGGTAGCGTAATGGCTACCTCTCTGGACTCCCACGTAGTCAATCACAGTTCGAGTCCCGGACCCGGGGGCTTAAACTCACACCAGGCACATGTGCGTGCATGCCCAAGATTCCAAGAGAAGAATGGAGGAGAAGGGATTGCAGCATGGCCATCCCCCCTGGAGAGTGATTTCTCACTTTCTGTCTCTCTGTCTGTCTCTGTCTTTCTGGTGAGCACACATGCCCTATAGCAAAAGCCTCTCAAAACAAAAACAAAAACAAAGAGCAGTGAAGCTAAATAAAATTCGTGTTTACCTATTTAAAAAGAGTAACAAGGGACCAGCAGATGGCATGGTAGTTAAAGTGTTGAACTCCCACATGGCTGACTGAGGTTCACGTCCTGGACCTGGTGGCTTGCTTTCTTACTTTCCCTCTCTCTTTCTCTCTCTGCTAAGTGCATGTGGCCATAGCAAATTAAAAAAAAATCTAAAAAAAAAAAAAAAAGAGAGTAACGCATGATGAACAAGTAATAGCTATTTTTGAAATGGAATGCTAGTTTAATGTTAGGATGTTTGTTAACATAGTGTATTATAAAAGGAGGTCAGCAAAGAGAAGGCATAATAATAATTACGATAGAAAATGGAGTTGGTATAAAAGCATGGGGAGACTAGATACTAGAGACAGTGTGGGAGAAGGGTAGACAATGGGGGACAGGAGGGAGGGAATCAAGGGGAAAAAAAGCAAAAGATTTAACAGACATAAAAATGGAAAATAACCTGTTGATGATACTGTGTATGGTAATACCCTTTGACTGGACTAATACACAGTGTACTCATCCTGGGGAGGTTCATTTCGTGTCCTGTAAAGATGTATAGTAATTAAATGTAAAAAATAATAAAATAAATTAAAAAAAGGCAAATGCATTTGGGAAAATTTAATGGTCATACTTTGATTAGAAGCCAGGGCAGGACTCTTGATAAAAAAAGAATCTAAGGAGAGGTTCTTAACCTAAGAATGGTCATTTAAAAACCACAGCAAGCACATGACTCTGCATTAAAACACAAAGCTATTTACATTAAATTCATGAACAGGACAAGGAAAATTACTCTAGTTACAATCATTCTATATTTTCCTGAATATCTAGAGATTGGTAAGACGAGAAAACATAATTGGCCTGACAACCAAACATTAGAAATAACTGTGTTTGTATTCTACATAAACACTAATATAAAAAACAGTAATATAGAACTATATGATTTTATCCACAGGCTGATTCTGTAAGAAAAAGTATTTCGGGGGTTAATGGAAAAATATAATTATTATGAAGAATAAAATAGACAGTAGTCACATATAATAAATCTTCAGTGAGGGCCAGCAGGTGGTGTGGTGGTTAAGGTGCTGGATTCCCACATGGCCAACCACAGTTTGAAAACCAGACCCATCAGCTTGAAAAATCACACCAGACACATGTATGTACGAGCCCAGAATCCTGAGAGGAGAAGGGGAGTGATTTCTCACTTTCCCTCCCTCTGTCTCTCTCTGACAAGTGCACATGCCCTATGGCAAAAGCCTGAAAAACAAAATAAACTTCAGTGAGATGGCAATGAATGAGCAATAGGATGCATACATCAGAAATCTACAATTATTGAAGATACTTTCCAGAAAATAATAGATGAAAAGGATAGCCATGCTAACTTTTATTGGAGAGAGATACTAGATAAAGAAAGGGAAAAAAAAAAAAGAAATAGATTGTGAACTGGACAAGACTGACTTCAGTGGAAACAAAAGTACCTACGATGCAAAGAGACTTTACATTCTCAGAATAAGCAAAGTTGAACTCTCCCAGGCTATAGAATTAGAGGTAAACCCCTGCATTGATTTTCTCTCCTCTTTTCCTTCTTAGCTCATCCGTCCTCACAGGATCAAACAGAGTCTCAGTGATGTTGATCATAGAATCTGTCTGTTCTCCATAATCTGTACGTGGAAAATCCGATTGAATTCTCACCTCAGTTGGGACTAGAGAATTACAAGTGAGGGATAAAAGGGTTTAAAGTAATGTTAGAAGTTGCCAGTGTCTCAAGGCTTCAATTCCCAGAGCTGTTCATTAAACAAAAATTTCTAACGTCTTTCTAGTCTTCAAATAATTCAGCTCTATTGGGAATACAAAGGTTAGAGGATGGAAATTAGTCAATTTTTTAACCATGTAGGCAGTGGGAGAAGGGGTGGAAGGGAGTTTTTTATTTCTCCTGGAAAAAAATTCTTTCTCTTTTGGTTTAATTGAAAAGTTTCAAGATATTCTCTAAGGATAATTTAATTTCTAAAAGGAGTCAAAACAAGGAAACAATTCTTTGTTTTATATATATAACCATGATTCAAATCCCGGACCTGGTGGCTTAAAACTCATGGCCAGGCACATGTGTGTCCATGCCCAAGAGCCCAAGAAGAGAATGGAAGAGAAGATATTGGGGCATGGCCATCCCCCACTGAGGGGGACATTATTTCTTGCTCTCTGTCTCTCTCTATCTCACTGGCAAGCACATGTGCCCTATAGCAAAAATGTCTCTTAAAAAAGAAAAAGATGTACAGTGATTAAACGTAAATAAATAAATAAATAAATAAATAAACCTTTGCTGGACCATATGACAACATATTTCAGTTCAAAGAGATTGATTATATTAAATCCAGGTATCTGAATACACAGGGAGTTTTGGCTACTTGACTTGTGGGAATTACTACATACTCTAAATGAATGACAAGTCATATTGCGTAGCATTCCCAGTACATAGGATACCTGACCTAGGAGTCAAAGGTTGGTAGTAGAAATAACTGAACCTAGCATCACTCCCAGTGACCTACTTGTGCAATTTGTGCTTCCAGGCTCCACAGCTCTGGCTTCTGAAGATTGAGAGATCTTGTATCCTAAGGGATAGTGCTTTTAATGACATGACAAAATCCTCATTAAATTTAAAGCTATACTGCTGTCTGATACCTCAGGTCTCTTATGCCAAAAAGAAGTCCCTATTCTGACAGGAGTCATTGACCCTGGTCATCATGTCTTTGCATGGCTCTGTAAATAGGCAAACACTGGGACTCCATTGGATCCATTCAGCAGAGGGAACAGCTCAGTAGTAACCCCAGTGCCGCCATGTTGTTGGACATGGATGGCTGCCAGTCAGATAGGCTTCCCATAGAAAGAGCTCTTATTGTTCTGACCTTAGGTCAGTTATCCCACTGTGTGTGTATCCAGAGAACCTGAAATTAGTGTCGGGATAGCTAAGCACATTCTTTTTCATGGTAGCATTATTCACATAACCGAGAAATGGAAACAACTTAAGCATTCATCATCAGATGAATAGATAAAGACTATGTGGTATGACACAGCAGAATACTGTTTAGCCTTAGAAAAAAATATAATTCTCGGGACCAGTAGTCAGCATAATGGCTATGTCGCTGGACTCCCATGTAGTCGACCATGGTTCGCGCCCTGGACCCGGTGGTTTAAAACTCATGCTGGGCACGTGTGGGTGCGTGCCCAAAATCCCGAGAGGAGAATGGAGGAGAAGGGATTGCGGTGTGGCCATCCCCCCCGGGGGGTGATTTCTCGCTTTCTATCTCTCTGTCTGTCTGGTGAGCGCATGCACCCTATAGCAAAAACCTCTCCAAAATAAATAAATAAATAAATAAATAAATAATCCTGTCACTTGTTCCAATATTGGTGAACTTTTTGGACATTTTGTTAAGTGATATGAGCCAAGCATAGAAAGTCAAACATAAACTTACTTATGTGTGTGGACTCTAAAACATTTGAATTTATTAAAACAGAGAATAGAATGTGGCATACATAGACAATGGAATACTCTTCGCCCATAACACAGAATGAAATCCTGCCATTTGTGGACAACACGGAAGTGAGGTAATCCAGACACACACAAAAAACAAATACTGCATGATTTTATTCATACGTAGAATATAAAAAAGCTGATATCATGAAGTATAGAGTAGAATGGTCGGTACCAGAGGCTGGGGTGATTAGGAGGTTGGAGGATTGTGGAGATATTGCCAAAGAATACATAATTACAGTTAGGCAGGAGAAATAAAATCCAAAAAAAAACACTGTACTGCTAGGTGATCATAGTTATTGATGACATAATGTATTCTTTTGTTTTGTTCTTAATGATTGTATTTACCTTAATTAACTAAGTAATTTAAAAATTTGACCAGAGAAGGACAGAGTGAATGAGAAAGAGAGAAAGGGAGAAAGTGAGAAAGCAAGTCGCCAAGTCGGGGACTTGAACCATGATCAGCCATGTGGGAGTCCAGCACCCTTAACCACTACGCCACCTGCCAGCCCCGGTAATATAGTCTTGAAAAAACATCATAATTTTTCTATGATCCAATATAAAGACAGTAAATTTTTAAGTGCACTCATCACATAAATGGTAACTACAGGAGGTAACACATTTGTAGTCTATGTAATTTTAACCATTTTATAATTTATATACTTCAAAACATATTATGTTTTTTATTTATTTTTTTGAGAGGATTTTGCTATAGGGTGTGTGCGCTCACCAGACAGACAGAGAGAAACAGAGAGACAGAAAGCGAGAAATCACCCCCCAGGGGGGATGGCCATACCACAATCCCTTCTCCTCCATTATCCTCTTGGGATCTTGGGTATGCATGCACACATACCCGGCGTGAGTTTTAAGCCACCGGGTCCGGGACTCGAACCGTGGTCGACTATGTGAGAGTCCAGTGACATAGCCATTTTGCTAACTGCTGGTCCCAAAACATATTATGTTTTACATGATACAACCATGCAATGTTTTTGTCACTTTACAATAATTTTAAAATAGAAAAAAGTTATCACAGAGAGGTTTTTTGCACAGAAACAATTACATATTTAAATGCAGTCACAGGGCCTTTGAAAATTGAAAAATGTCTCTTAGGAAAGAAAAAGAGCCAGAATAGCTAACTCACATAGGTCTTATCAGCTTAATACATCCAGTTAGTTCTGAGGCCAGTGATCCATCATGGACAAGAGGCCACTCTGCTGAGGAGTCTCTCCAGGGCCCTCTTCATGTCCTTGTTCCTCAGGGTGTAGATGAAGGGGTTCAGCATGGGGGTGACCACCGTGTACATCACTGAGGCAATTGAGAATCTCTTGGAAGATGGGGTGAGAGCAGAACTGAGGTAGACTCCCAGTCCTGTCCCATAGAACAAAGAGACCACACTGAGGTGAGACCCACAGGTGGAAAATGCTTTATACTTTCTTGCATTGGAAGACATCTTCATTAAGGAGGAGATGATCTGAAAGTAAGAGTAGAGGATCCCGGAGACAGGAAACACCCCCAACAGGGCTGTCATCACATACAAGATAATGTTGTTGATGAGGGTGTCAGATTGGGCCACCTTGAGAACCTGAGGCAGATCACAGAAGAAATGAGGAATTTCAGTCCCCGTGGAGAAGGTCAGCTGTAACACCAATAGAACGTGAAGAAGGGAGTCCCAGGAAATGATGAACCAACATATGAGGACCAAGAGGACACAGGCACGAGGGTTCATGATGACCGTGTAGTTCAGAGGGTGACAGATGGCCACAAAGCGGTCATAGGCCATCACCGTCAGTAGGAAATTATCCATTCCAGCAAAAACCACAAAAAAATACACCTGAGTGAGGCACCCTCTATAGGAGATCGTTTTGCTGTATGCATGGATGTTCACCAGCATCTTAGGGACTGTCGTGGAGATGAAACAGATGTCAACAAAGGACAAACTGGAGAGGAAGAAGTACATGGGAGTGTGGAGGTGGGAGTCAGAGATGATGGTCAGGATGATGAGCAGGTTTCCAAGCACAGTGGCCAAGTATACGGACAGGAACAGCCCAAAGAGAAGGGACTGCAGTTCTGGATCATCTGAGAGTCCCGAGAGGAGGAATTGTGATACTTCCGTGTGGTTTTCTGCTTCCATGTAGCTGGCGTGTCTGCTTGAGAAGAAGGCAATAACAGGATTCAATGAAGACCAACAACCTCCTCAGCTAGCCATTGCTTTACAACACTGCCCTTGGGTAGATATCCTTTACCCTCTGTTGAGTCCTGCCAATGACAGTAATTCACTCACTAAAGAGGTAGTCATCTATTATTATTTTTAGTAGTTTTGCTATAGACTGAGTGTGCTCACCAGAGAATGAGAGAGAAAGAAAGTGAGAAAGCATCCCCTGGGGGGGATGGCCATACCACAATCTCTTCTCCTCCATTCTCCTCATGGGCTTTTGGACACATGCACCTGGCATGATTTTCAAGTCACCAGGTCTAGGACTTGAACCATAGGGTCAGCCATGTGGGATCCAATGCCTGAACTATCATGCCACCTGGTGGCCCACTATTTCCACTTTAAGTGTGTGTAATTTAAAAAATTAAAAAAAAAACAACTTAGTAGGACTCTTTCTCTCTTATTATCTTCTCACTAGTTCTAATTCTCCTGTTTGAATAAATGGACCTAAATTAATTTCTCCTTTGAAATGACTGTTGCAAATTAATTGAATAAAATTCCTGTCTTATCCTTGATCACCCCATTTCTTCATTCTAATACATCTATCATAGAAATTAGCACAAAGATTTTTAACTCAGAATTTTAAAATTCTATGACCTTACACCACTAAGTCATATGGCAGCTAATATTCGGTATCTTATTTATTACTTTCTAAAAATATGGTTATGAGTACTACCTTCTTTGTGAGGTTTAAAAATGCCCCTCTTTCTTTCTTTTCTTTCTTTTTTTTCCCTTTAGGTTTTTGCTAGAGAGCACATATACAAGCCAGAGAGACAGAGAGAGAGGGAAAGGGAGAAATCACCACTCAGGGGAGATAGCCATGCCACAATGCCTTCTTCTTGAAATAAGTATAATTACACTGAGTAGGAGTGATGGGTCATTTTAGTTGGTGGAAATAAGAACAGAATTATTCTCCAAGGCTAAATGAACATTCAATGGTGGCCCTGTGGGTCAGTAATTTGACTTTGGAGTGGTTTTAAGAGCCAGTGTGAAGCCAGCTGGTGGTGTGGTGATTAAGGCAGCTGGATCCCACATAGCCAACTGTGCAGCTTGAGTCTAGGACTTAGAGACAGAAAAAAACATGCTGACAAGCCAGCAAGTTGTGTGGTAGTTAAGGTACTGAATTCCCATATGGTCAACCATGGTTTGCATCCTGGACCTGGTGGCTTGAAAATCACTCCAGGTGTTTGTGCATGCGTGCCCCAAATCCCAAGGGGAGAATGGAGGAGAAGGGATTGTGGTGGGGCCATCACCTCTGATGAGTAATTTCTCATTTTCTCTCTCTCTGTCTCTCTCCAGCCAGTGCATGTGCCCTATGGCAAAAAACTAGGAAAAAAACAAAAAAAAGGAGGAGGAATATCTATTCTAGAATGGGTAACAGGTTTAGTATTAGGATTTTTGTTAACATTGTTTATTTAAAAAAAAAATAGGTCCAGGACAAAGAATGACAACCACAATCCCAATAGGAGATGTATTGGGGAGAATTTGATAGTCATGACTGATTAGCCTCTATGCCACAGTCTCTCAGTAACTGAGGAACAGGGACAAAGTCTTAATCCAATAAAGAAAACAATTTAAAAATCATAGCCAACAGTATATTCTACAATAAAGCACTAAGTTATTTCTGTTAAATTTATGAACCAGTAAAGGTAATATACCTTAACTGTAATAATTTTATGTTCTCCTGGATATTTAAGTTTTTTTTTTTACCCCCTTAGGACCTGCGTGCTTGCTGGGGAGAGATACAGAGATAGAGACAATGAGAAGGAAAGTGAGAAATCACCCCCCGGAGGGGATGGCCATGCCTCAATCCCTTCTCTATGCTCCCCCTGGAATCCTGGGCATGCACACGCATGCACACGCACCCAGCGTGATTTTGAAGCCACCAGGTCTGGGACTTGAACCACAGTTGACTATGTGGGAGTCCAGAGATATAACTGCTACTCCATCTGCTGGCCCTTCTCCTGGATATTTAATGAGATTAATAAGATGAGAAAAGAAAATTGTCCTGAGAACTAAACATCAGAAATAAGTACATACCTGTACTATATTGTGAACTCTAATGTCAAACAACTACAATTGATTTTCAGTGATGCCAATACGGCAAATCTGCAAAAGAAAAAAAAAAAGAAATAGAGTTTCAGAGAAAAATCCAATCACACTAAGAACACAATAGGCAATAACTATACATAATAGCTCTTCGGTGATAAGTTAAAAAATAAAGGACTATAGCAGCAGAAGGTGTAACAGATATGTTGCCGGACTCCTACATTGTTGACTGTGGTTCGAGTCCCAGATGCGGTAGCTTAAAACTCACACCAGGTGTATGTATGTGCATGCTCAAAATCCTGAGAGGAGAATGGAGAAGAAGGGATTTCAGCATGGCCATCCCTCCTGGGGAGTGATTTCTTGCATTCTGTCTCTGTCTCTGTTTGTCTTTCCGGTTAGCACATGCATCCTATAGCAAAAATCTCTCTCTCAAAAAAAAAAAAAAAATGGACGTAGGGAATCAATCAAGAAACCACAATTTATTGGAGAAATAGGTGGAAATGTGGACATGTTCCAGAAAGTAATAATTCAAGTTATGGTAATTTCTAACTCATATTGGAGAGAGAATCTAGAATCTAGAACAGAGGAAAGAAAATAGAATGAGAGTTAGAAAAGACATGTTTCAGTAGAAACCAAAGTACTTTCAAAGTACAGGGACTTCATCTGGAGAGATGAAATAAATACGGGATTGTGCCAGTTTACAGATAAAACCCATTATTGATATTCTCCCCCTTTCTTTCTTATCCTACAAGCCTTCACAGGTTCACCTGGTCTCTTTCTGATATTGATCACAGAAGCCTTCTGCTTTCCACAATCTGTCCTTAGGAAACTCAGTTGGGTTGTCACCTAGACTATAATCACAGAATTATAGGTGAAGAGTAACAGGGGCATGTTTAAAATTTTTAGGGACTCAAGGGTTTAATTCCCAGACCTGCTCATTAAATATATTGTTCTATTGTCTTTCCTTTCTCCAAACAATTTAGCTCCCTTGGGGGTCCAAAGAAGATAGCAGAATGGGAATTATTCTGTCAGTTTTGTGTCCAAGTGGAAATTTTTATGTGGCTTGATTTAAAAGCTACAAGATATTGCATAAGGAAATTTAAATTTCTACAAAGAAACAAGCCAGAAACGAACTCTTCATAATGCGCTCCCTTTGGAGACTCTCTGGAGATTTTATGAATCAGTGTCCACAAAGGGATGCAGTGAAAGAGGTTCTTTCTGATGAACAGCAACGTGATTAATAGTTTTGGTTCTGGACTCTATTTGTGTTGTGAGAAACCATGTTGTACACTGTAAATATGCATCGTGCTTAAATATGAATTAAAAATGAAAAAAAAAAAGACAGTAGTCTTGGTTCTATTGAAAAGAACCAAAATGGGGACCAGCAGATGGCATCATGGTTACATTGCTGGACTCTCACGTAGTTGACTGTGGCTCAAGTCTTGGACCTGGTGGCTTAAAACTCATACTGGGTGCATGTGTGTGCATACCTAAAATCCTGAGAGGAGAATGGTGGAGAGGGGACTGCAGCATGACCATTCACCCTAGGGGGTGATTTCTTTCTTTCTTTCTTTCTTTCTTTCTTTCTTTCTTTCTTTCTTTCTTTCTTTCTTTCTTTCTTTCTTTCTTTCTTTTTCTTTCTTTCTTTCTTTCTTTCTTTCTTTCTTTCTTTCTTTCTTTCTTTCTCTCTTTCTCTCTTTCTTTCTTTCTTTCTTTCTTTCTTTCTTTCTTTCTTTCTTTCTTTCTTTCTTTCTTTCTTTCTCTTTTTCTTTCTTTCTTTATCTCTCTGGTGAGTGCAGGCACCCTATAGCAAAAATCTCTCTTAGAAAAGAAAGAAAGAAGAAAGAAAGAGAGAAATAAATAAATAAATAAAATTAAGATGTAAATAAAAAAAGAGAAAAAATAGCAAAACCCTAAGAAAAAGTAATTAAGATAGAGCATATAGGAGCATGTTATTTAAAAAGAGAATTGTTATATTAAGTACAGGAAATTGAATACCCAGGAAGTTCTGACTACTTAGTATGCAGAATATAATATATAGACTACCTAAATCAATGACAAAGCATATGTGTTGTATTCCCAATGCAGGGGTCCAGAGATTAGTAGAATAGGACCAGAGACATGAATGAGTTGCAAGATCAGGCAACCCAGAATGGAGTAGGCAGCCCAGATCTCAATGTTATCCACCATTGTTACACCAATGTCACTCACTCAAGTGCACATATGGCTTCTACTGGGGGCACCTGAAAGAGCAATTGTGGTTTATAGATAAGTTGACTTGGTAGGTGGGTGCAAACCGAAATGGATAGCAGCATCATTATAGAAAGGCTCAGTGATAACCATGAAAAGGAGAGCTCAGAGAAAATGATCATAATAGGTGGTGCTGGAAGTGGCATCTAGAAGAATCCACTTTGTGTGGAAGAAGAGGATTAAGAAATTGGAACTATCTGGTCATGGGCCTTGAAGGGAGTGGACTAGAAGACTAGTGGTAGGCATGTGGATGGACAGAGAGGTGGGTATTACTTATGAAAATTTCTGTCTCATGTGTCGTAGAAGAGGCATTGAAAAACCATGTAGCCACTCACTTGGCTGTGTAATATAATGTAGCCAGATCATTGACCACTCAGTGGTATCATGGGTGCATGAACAGAGGGGCCACAATGGCAGACACTCCCATTTATAAACATAGGTCTAATTAACTGCCTCTGAATAACTGAACAGTCATCAACAGAGACCTTAGTTACCCTACGTGGCACTATTTCATTAGAAAGCCAATCAATTAGTCATACAAGTTGACCATGTAAGAAACCTTCTGATCTGAAAATACTAGCAAGAATTTATTCTCACAAGAATACATAGCTATTTCAGGTAGTACTTGCTTTTTCTATCTATCTATATAGCCACAATAGGGGGTTAAGAGAACTCCTGATCTATTGGCATGGAATTCCACAACAATAGCATCTCACCAATGCACCTACTTAAAAGTGAAGGTGGTGTGGCAGCCCCATCTCACATGAATGTCCATGAACATGGAATGCACTGATCATTTCACACATCTCACTCTCCAGAAGTATTTAAATTACTAGAGTCTTTTTATAGGTGTAGCTGAAATGTTAGCTTAAAGACAACATTGAAGGATTTACGTTCCATCCTTCAGGACATAGTACTGGATATTCATTAAATCAAAGACCTGTATATAGATCTGTTCCCCTAAAGAGGAAACTTGGGCCCAGGAGTCAGGGGAAGCAGGAGTGATCCCACTTAACACTTTTAACTGCCCATTGAAGACTTTGTAAGCCTAGTTCCCACAAGTCTAGATATATTAGGGTCCATGTCTTGGTACCCAAAGGCATCTCATTCTTGCAAGAGAAACAACAAAGACCTTTTTGGGACCAGGGAAAAATGAGGCATGAATAAGAGTTGAAATCTCTTTTTAAAGGTTTTATTGAGATGTAAATCATATGCCATATAAAATAGTGAATTGAAATAAAACAATTTAAGTGTTCATTTTATATTTGCAATGACCACCATAATCTAATTAGGAACATTTTCCTCGTCCACCAAGGAAACACCTCTTAGCAGTGAATATTATTCAGTCATAACAAATGGAATAGGTTCACTTTAACAAATAAATCAGCCAAAGAAGTGAAGCAAGAAAAGAGTGTATAATTATGGAAAAAAGAAAGGAAGAAGAAAAGGGGAAAAAAAGAGGCTGGTGGGCTAGATGATGGTACAGCAGTGAAACGTGATGCTCTGCAAGGCGGGGTCAGATGTGAAGGTTTCAGGTTTGTGTCCAGAGACATATGTGAGTATGCTGGGCATGTGTGTGCCCATAACCCAGATTTGGCAAAGGTGGGGATGTATCGTAGCATTAAAACCATTCAATGTTGGAGCAGGCAGGTGGCATAGTGGTTAAAGCACTGGATTCTCACATATAAACCGTGGTTTGAGTCCCTGACCCAGTGGGTTGAAACTCACACCAGGTGTGTGCGCGTGTGTGCCCAAAGTCCCAGAAGGAGAATGGAGGAGAAGGGATTGCAGCATAGCCATCCTCCCTGGAGGGTGATTTCTCACTTGCTTTCTCTCTCTGTCTTCCTCACTCTCTGGCAAGCACACATGCCCTAAGGTAAAACCCTTGTTAAAAAAAAAAAAGTGGGATAGCAAAATTAGGAATGTAAATTCAGTGTCAGGTTATTTGGTGATAGTCCATCTCAGCTCAGTTACTTATAGAGATATGAAAAACAGGATGAATCAGAAACTATCTCACATAAACGATTTTAGGATTAAATAGTGTCACACATGTAAAGCAATGAGCAAAATATGTAACCACATTGCCTTGACTATAGTTTGATTTTCATTCCATTATTTCCAGAGAAAGTGAAGACACAACCAAATTAAGGGTGGTGACATAACAATTAGGATGATAATTTTTGAGGAAACCAACTTGATATGAGTGCTTTACACACCAAGTTAGAAATCCCAGGGATGCCTATAAAATAACTCACCAAAGATAGAACTTAAAACAAAATTATTAAAGAAGTTGTTGAGAAGAAATTAAAGCAAAAATTTATAAAAGCAGGACCAGCAGATGGCATAGTAGTTATGTCACTGACTCCTACATGGCCAACTGTGGTTTGAGTCTCGGACCTAGTGGCTTGAAACTCACACCAGGTACGTGTGTGTGTGTGCCCAAAATTCTGAGAGGAGAATGGAGGAGAAGGTATTGCAGCATGGCCATTCCTCCTGGGGGGTGATTTCTCACTTTCTGTATCTTCAGTGAGTTCACACTCCCTATAGCAAAAGTCTCTCTTAAAAGATTATATATATAAAAGCAAAGTAACAGAAACTTTGGTAACAAAAGAATTGAAGCATGTCTTCTAGGGGAGAATGTGGGGACATGTTTTAGAGAGAGTCTGAGGTGTGGGGACATGCTCTGAGCAAACACCACATGCTCTTTTGGGGTTTGGCAGAACCTTGTAACCTATCATTCCTTGACCTTGGCTACAGACAGAGCAAGGGTGGAAATTGCTAGGGGCGTTCCAACAGACACATCTGATGGACTTCAAGAAACATCTTGACCCCCATTAGTGAAATCCAATCCCTGCTCTGCATCTGAAAGGTTCTTTAGCCTTCTCTGGGTGTGGTGGTGCACTCCTTCTGGAGAAGTTCTTTAGCTCCTTCCCCACACCTAACAGCTAGTTCTCTGCATTAGAAAAGAAGATGAAATTTTCTCTTGATGAGATTATCAACAAGGGATACACCTGGCCTGGTATGACTAAGCCCATATAGATCTGTTAACTGCTTCTTATTGTCTGTAACCTGGCAACCAATCTATGAAGTGTCCTGAAACATACATGTGTAATGTCTCCTTGTACTATAAAAAAGACATCCAGTTTGTCTGGGTGGGACAAGTTGCTTGGGCTACTTAGACTCAGGCTGCCTGTGTCCGTTTCTACTCTATCCCTTTGTCTCATTCTTTCCAATTCCCAGGTCCTGGCAAGATGTAGGGCCTTCTCTTTCTTGTCCTCTTTCTCTTCCTTACCAGCAGCCCCCTGATCATGATTCAGCCAGTCCCAAGCCCTGGGGCGGACACCAACAGGAGAAAAAGAACCAGGATTTAAAAATTCATATCTTCTCAGTGGGTCCACAGTATCCACTTAGTTTTGAGGTCAGCAATCCATCATGGGCAAGATACTGCTCTGCTGAGGAGTCTTCCCAGGGCCCCCTTCACATCCTTGTTCCTCAGGGTGTAGATGAAGGGGTTCAGCATGGGGGTGACCACAGTGTACATCACTGAGGCGATCGGCCTTCCCTGGGAAGAGTGGGTCACAGAAGAACTGAGGTAGACCCCCAGTCCTGTCCCGTAGAACAAGGAGACCACGCAGAGGTGAGACCCACAAGTGGAGAAAGCTTTATACTTGCTGGCGGTGGAGGACATTCTCAGTAAGGAGGAGACAATCTGAGAGTAAGAGTAGAGGATCCCAGTGACAGGAAACACACACAGCAGTGCCGTTGCCACATACAAAACGATGTTATTGATGAAGGTATCAGATTGGGCCACCTTGAGAATCAGAGCCAGTTCACAGAAGAAGTGTGGAATTTCAGTGCCTGTAGAGAAGGTCAGCCGCCTCATCAGTAGAATGTGAAGCAGAGAGGCCGAGAAAATGATCAACCAACATATCAGAACCAGGAGGACACAGAGACGGGGGTTCATGATGACAGTATAGTGCAGGGGGTGGCAGATGGCCACAAAGCGGTCATAGGCCATCACAGTCAGTAACAAATTATCCAGTCCAGCAAAAATCATAAAAAAATACACCTGAGTAAGGCACCCCATATAGCAAATGTCTCTGCTGTGTGTCTGGATGTTCACCAGCATCTTTGGGATGGTGGTGGAGACAAAACAGATGTCAACGAAGGATAGGTTGGAGAGGAAGAAGTACATGGGGGTGTGGAGGTGGGAGTCAGAGCTGATGGTCAGGATGATGAGCAGGTTCCCAAGAACGGTGACCAGGTACATGGGCAGGAACAGCCCAAAGAGGATGGGCTGTTGTTCCAAATCCTCTGAGAGTCCCAAGAGGAGGAATTCCAAACCTTCTCAAAACAGATGTCAACGAAGGATAGGTTGGAGAGGAAGAAGTACATGGGGGTGTGGAGGTGGGAGTCAGAGCTGATGGTCAGGATGATGAGCAGGTTCCCAAGAACGGTGACCAGGTACATGGGCAGGAACAGCCCAAAGAGGATGGGCTGTTGTTCCAAATCCTCTGAGAGTCCCAAGAGGAGGAATTCCAAACCTTCTGTGTGGTTTTCTGCTTCCATGTAGTTGGCACGTCTGTTGAGAAAGAAGGCCAAAACAATGTTCAATAGACAGCCAACTGCACCTCAGCTAGTTCTCAACTTATCACTCTTCGATAGATGTCCTTCACCTTTTATTGAGTCCTGGCAGTGATTAACCTAACCAAGTGACTGCTCATTTCTATTTCCTTTCCTTCTTTCTTTCTTTCTTCCTTTCTTTCTTTCTTTCTTTCTTTCTTTCTTTCTTTCTTTCTTTCTTTCTTTCTTTCTTTCTTTTGTATCGTTATTAGGTGGTTGGAAAAGTCACAACCTTGAGTTTTTCTAAGCAAAAATGCATTGGAACTTTCCTGACAACTCAATATTTAGATTTTTCCTTAAGGTGGCATAAATCTCTCTCTTCTGATCATTTAATTCCTAGTTTCAATTCTACTTGAATCATGGATATAAGCTAATGCCCTTTAGAATGATGCTTCCAAAGCAAAGGAAGACATTTCATGCCTTTTGCTTGGTAATTCTTACATTTCCTTCTTTTTTGAATTTTAGAGAGATTTTTGCTATAGGGTGTGTGCACTTGCCAGAGAGACAGAGTGACAGAAAGCAAGAAATCACCTCCCAAGGGGATGGCCACACGGCAATCCCTTCTCGTCCATTCTCCTCTCAGGATTTTGAGCATACACATGTACATGTGCCCAGCCTGAGTCTTAACCCACCAGGTCCGGGACTCAAACTGCAGTTGACTAGGTGTGAGTCCAGCAACATAACCATTATGCCATCTGCTGGTCTGTATTTCCTTCATTCTAAGAGGTCTACAATAGTGATTGAGGTATGAAGTTTGGGGCCAGCAGGTGGCATCGTGATAAAGGCAATGGATTCCTATATGGCTGACTGCAGCTCAAATCCCAGACTTGGAGGCTTGAAAATCATGCGGGGCACGTATGTGTGTGTGTGTGTGTATGTGTGTGTATGTGCCCAGAATCCTGAGAGGAGGTGGAGGAGTATTGAGAAGTGATTGCTGTGTGACCATCCCCCGAAGGGTAATTTCTCACCTTCCCCCTCACCGTCTCTCTCTTTCTCTGTCTCCCTCTGGTGAATGCACATACCCTGTAACAAAAATCTAAAAAAAAGAAGATACTAAGGTTTAACTCAAACAACCTGTATTCTGTGACCTGACAATTCCTAATGATATGACATCTCACTCTCAGGGTATTATTTTTTTTGTTTCTAAAACATGGTTTTTCCTGTTTTCAAAAGTTTATGTATTTCTCGGGACCAGCAGTTAGTGTAATGGCTATGTCACTGGACTCACACGTAGCCGACTGCGGTTCGCGTCCCGGGCCCGGTGGCTTCAAACTCATGCCGGGCGTGTATGCGTGTGTGCCCAAGATCCAGAGAGGAGAATGGAGGAGAAGGGATTGTGGTGTGGCCATCCCCCCTGGGGGGTGATTTCTCGCTTTCTGTCTCTCTGTCTCTCTCTGTCTGTCTGGTGAGCGCACGTGCCCTATAGCTAAGAAACCTCTCAAAAAAAAAAAGTTTATGTATTTCTCTCATGAGATGGGGGAGGGAAAGAAAGGGACAGAGAAAGAAAGTGAGACGTAAATACAATCACCCTCAACAGAGTTCTAACACTGTTATTCCTCCCTTACTCCCAGCCTTTCTGGTCATCCAGGGTCATGGTCACATGTGTGCCTAGTGGGCTGGTATGTACAACTCAATGAACACTCAAACCCAGGTCGTCTATATGGGTTCCAGCATTACATAACATTGTACTACTGCTGTGATACCATTTCTGGGTTCATTACTATTACTTTCTTGGTGAGTTTTTAAAAAAATATTTATTTAAATATTTTTTTTATGAAACAAAAATTACAGAATGTGTTTTTTTCCCCTAACAGAGAACTTTAGATTCTTTTGTCTATTAAATGCTTCTTCCATTTTCCCCCTCCCACTCACCCTCGATCACCCACTCTACTACTTACTCCTCTCCCTTACAGTCTCTAGTATCTACAGGTATCCTCTCTACAATCATGTTTTTGGCATTCAGTACATGGGCAGACATTCAGTACACATTGAGTAGGGATATGCAGTGTGTTTCTTTCAAAATCTGGCTCACTTCACTCAACAAAGTATTCAAAAACTGAAACTGGGTTGAAAAACTGTGGCACATTAATACTGTGGAATATTACTCAGCCACAGGAAACAAATGAGACCCTGTCATTTGATTCAAAGTGGTGAAAGTATTTTTTTAATGGAAAAACTGTTTAATAGGGCAAAAATTACAGAACTCTTATTGTAAACAGAACTTTACATTCTTTTGTCTTTTAAATGCTTCTTCCCTTTGACCCTTTTTCTATCACCCACTCTCTACCACTCATTCTCCTCTCTTACAGTCTCTGGAATCTACACCTGTCCTCGCTACTATCGTATCTTTAGATTTTTCAGTTTCTGCCACTGAGCGCAGACATTTGGTATATATTGAGTGGGAATATACAGTGTGTATCTTCCAAAGTCTGGGTCACTTCACTTAACATTAAGTTCTCTAAATTTATCTACTTTGAATCAAACAATAAGGTTTCATTGTTTCTCATGACTGAATAATATTCCATAATATATACAGTTTTTCAATCCAGTCATCAGTTTTTGGATGCTTAGGTTGATTCTATGTCTTGTGATTGTGAATATTGCTGCAATAAATACATGGATGTGCAAATGTCTTTCTGTGATTGTGAATATTGCTTCAATAAATGCATGGATGTGCAAATGTCTTTCTGACTGTTTTTCTATCCTTTGGGTAAATAGCAAGGAGTAGGTTTACTGGGTCATATGGTAGTTTTATTGGTAGGTTTTTGAGGAACTTCCATATTATTTTCCACAGAGGTTATATTTATTTACATTCCCACACACAATGTAAGAGGGTTCCCTTTTTACCACAGTCAATAGGATCTCAAAAAGTTGTATCTAACATCATTATCATTAGTGTACTCTGTTTATGAAACTTATTTTGGAGGCAACATGCCCTGAAAACACTTTATAGCTCTGTGATTCAGAAATAGTTTCTCAAGTCACACTTCCTGGACTATAATTTTGGTCCACCCACTTACTACTGTGTAACCTTAAAAAACTTACTGAAACTCCTCATTGTAAGGGAGATGCAGATCCAAACCACAATGACATACCACCTAACCCCAGTCAGAATGATTAAGATTAAAAAAACAGAAAATGATAAGTGCTGGTGGAAGTGTGGTGAAAGGGGAGCTCTCCTATACTGCTGATGGGAATGTAAATTGGTCCAGCCACTCTGGAGAACAATTTGGATATTCCTCAAAAACCTACAAATAGAACGACCAATACGATCCAGCAATCCCACTTCTTAGTATCTACCCAAAGAACAGAAAAATTCTTAATTAGAAAAGTGCAAGTGCTTGCACATCGATGTTTATTGCAGCATTGTTCACAATTGCTGAGATGTGGAACCAACCCAAAAGCCCATGAATAGATAAATGCATTAAAAAACTGTGGCACATATACTCTATGGAATACTACTCAGCCATACAAAAACAACAAGATCCTGGATTTTGACAGAAAGTGGATGAATATAGATGATTTACTGCTGAGTGAATCAAGCCAGGCGATGGAGAGTCATTGTATGTCTCCATTTAATATATACCGAGTGTCTGCACTCTATGGCTGAAACTGAATGATTGAAGGCTATAGAAGCTAAGTAAATGGTTGTGAATACCAGATACAGTGTGGGAAGAAGATGGGTGAAGGAGTAGAGGAAGATAACTTTCTAGTATGGTGAACTGGACTGGTGAGAAATATACACATGCTGGAATAATCACTTTGTAAGCTAAGTAACATGATTGAATATATAAAAGAAATAGGAATAAAAAGAAAAATGGAAATAAAAAAGAAAAAAAAAAGTTACTGAAACTCTAAACTGTAGATACCCCACCTCTACAGAAAAAAAAAGCAGGAATAGTAAATAGTCCCCATAGGGTGGAATTGAAGAATGAAATGAAATGAGATGATGTATTTAACTTTTCTACTGTTGTTCTTGTGATACAGAACATTTTATGAGTATGAACATCTGTTTTCAACATCACAATCAAGCTACCTTGCATGGCTATGATTTATCAATAACCTGGGTCAGATGTCAAGGATAAAATTCTGATCACTATAATTACAGTACATGTGTTACCTCTTTTGACTGCCATGAAGCACTTCTGGTTAATGAAGATCTCTATGGCTCCTTCCTTCAGAGAATGCTGGCCAAGTGAATTTTTCCAAGAAGAGGAGAAACATGTGGATTAAATCAATAAGAGAAGAAAACTAAAGTACATGACATTAAAATAAAATACAAGGGATTTGTGAGGGTGTTACATGCTTCCTATTGAGGAATCTTTTGTGTCAAAATCAGAGTTAATTGCCAAATATATGATTGATAGATTTGATTTAAAATAGTCAAGTCTCCAAAAATCAAATGATATAAAGGAGATTTAAAATTTTACAAAGACATTTATATTTTCCATTAGAGAAAAAGGGTCATTATTTTTGGGCCAGTGTGTGGTGTGGTGATTAAGGCAGGCCAGTGTGTAGTGTGGTGATTAAGACCTTGGATTCTCACATGGTTGACTGCAGTTTGAGTCTCAGACCTGACAACTTGAAAATAACAACAAATGAATAAATAGATAAAAAATAAATCAATGTAAAACAAACAAACAACAAAGGGTCAATATTATTAATGCTTAGAGAATAAAAGTGAATTAAAGTCAGGAAAAAAATCGTCAAAGACCCATTTAATCTGGGAAGTAGGTTGAAAACACATTTTTTTTTTGAGAGAGAGATTTTATGGTATCATGGACCTTAATGTGAAACAACAGTGAAGAACTACACAGTAATATCTGTGTCTTGATTCTGCCAGAAAAAAACATTTACAAGATTATGAAAAATATAATTACAGGGCTGGCAGGGAGCATGGTAATCAAGGTGCCAGACTTCCACATGGCCAACCATGGTTTGAGTCC